ACGTGCACGTATGTCAAAGTTGCGTACAACCGTAATGGAAGAAACCAAGATGTCACAGCTTACGGACTGTCCGGGTGACTGCATGTTGCAGTAGCACAAAACTAACCCATTAAATCTGAGAGTTGAAGTCTGGCTCATACTAGGGATGTGTTAAGTCCCCTATTCTTGTATGATAAATGTTATACAGGTGAGTAAGACGTCATGTGTCATCAAATGGCAAACAGAACAATAATCATGAATTATGTGTTGTAAAATATGGATGATATATTTTGTTTACACTTTCTCAGGGTGATAAAATCAACAATAATCAATTGAGTGGGTCATGGGTCAGATACTGGGAACGACCCATTCTTCAAGTGCCTGAGCACTGCGGGTCCCAACTTTTTGTTGGCTCGATCTATAGACAATCGGTAGGACTCCTTGGACGAGGGATCAGCCCGTCGCAAGGCCTCTACCTGTACACAGGACTGCACTACACGGAAAAACATCCATGGCTTGAGTGGGATTCATCCCCACGGTCCCAGTGACCAAGCGCCACAACGCCCACACCTCAGACCGCGCGGCCACTGCGGACCCCATGGGACAGAAGAGAAATATATATAAAATGTTAGCTGGGAAACTTAAAGGGACTTAGATAAGGAGCAGAGGATTATATTAAATGGATCATAACCATAACAATATTTTATGTGTGGAATGAATTTGACTCTTAATAAGGTCCAGTGGCTGGGTCTTGTGAATATAGCATTGAAACTTTAGATTCCATAGAAAGCAGGAAATTTATTGACTTATTTTATCTGGGAGGGCAGTGCATTGTGGTGTTGGTCAATAATTTTATAGTTTGTGTGCATGTGTAGGAAAATTTCAAATATGTGAACCAATAGGAGCAGAGATATCTTTTACAAAATGTGAAATTCAGTCTGCGATTGCTCTTGCATTGTTTATCAGAGTAATCCCCCTCTTCCACCTCGAGAGCACCTTGTGACGCCCCACAGTTCATCTTCTTTGACTGGTCCAGGTCCTCAACAAGGAACCAGAGTTCATTGTACGCTGGCGGTGTTGGATGCATTCAGTTCTGCGAGGGATCACATTCATCGAGCAGATCAAAGCAGTTATTCGCTTAGTCGAGCCATAGAAGACTTGCCTGGATCAGGTAAATCTTGGTCTTTCTTTATAACAGATTGGGAGTTCTTTGACTAGCTTAGCTACTGTTAGCATCTCAAGGAAGATTATGCTCTGTTTCAGTTAATCTGTACTTTTGAAGCACTTCTCTACCGTATCTTGTATTGATCCATTTAGGTCCGTGCGTCAGGAATATTGATGAAGAAATGTTGTTGTTGAAGGCTACTGCGCAGGCAACAGTTTACTGTCTGAGTCAGTGCTTGTCAATTTTGCAACAGCAACAGATAGTATCTGCGCATAAAATTATGCTTGCGCCCCCATCTTTCCGTTCCACCCCTTCAGTGCCATCTTCTGGAGGAGGTGGAGTTTTTCCAAGAAAGACTTCTTCCATGCATCCTATACAGTATGATGCATATGACACTAAGAAAAGGTATGTTATTGCTCGTGAATATGTACCTCTTTCTTTAATCTTGCTTTCACAGTAGTGTGCACTGATTCGGTACTTTTCATTTATATGTATTTGGTAAATATTTTAAAGATCTGTTGCCTGATAAGCCTCATTACTTGCAGTGAATAATTTAACCAATGGGAATTAAGATTGACATGTTTAGTTGAATCTGCTTATTATTCAAGGTTTATATCAACACTTTACAGCACTGTCTTATAATAATTTTCCAGTGCTCAGACCGTGTTTCAAATTTTTGTTTAAATTATACACATAGAGGCCGAGCAAGAAGTACTGGAGCATGCGCGAAGGACTGATTTTGGTCGTATGAGACGGACCCGTCCGAAGCGCGCTCTAGAGGAGTGTCAGCTTCAGTGGGTTTGTAGCTCTAGCTGTGTTTAGATCGGTGCGTCACCGCAGCTGAGGCTGTGCGACCCCCACTACTGCTGAACTTCCCTCTCTCGGCTTACACGCCGCGCATTTAGGTGCGACGACTACTCGCGCGATCTCTACTCACTGTACTACCTCTATTTATTTTTAGCCTATCATAGCAGATCAGCATATTGAACAATAAGATATACAGTGAAACCTCTATCCATCGTTCCCGGAACTATCGTTTTCCCGGATGCATCGTCCGTTTTGTTCGGTCCCGAATACATCCCATATAAAATAATGTTACATTTTCCCGCTTCTATCGTTCCTCGAACTATCGTTTTATCGCATCGATCGTTCAAAAATCGTAGTCCCGGCCCACAATTTTCCCGCAATGATCGTTTCTGAGAAATTAAAATGCTGGGTTTTGAGATAAATTAATACCGAAAGACGCATAATGTTTTTGGAATACACAGTAGCGGTAACCTGTTATGTCGCCCAACCAGCACATTCTTTTGGAATGAGGGTCAGCGGTGCAGGGGTGATAGTTGGAGTGAATGGCGGTGCTCATTGTCAGAAATTTTACGATTTTAATTAGGGTGCACTCATATTTCGTTCCAGCGATGCCAGATGGCATGTGCAGTGTGAATTTCTTCACAAATGCTTTTATTACAAGGACAAAGGAAAGGCCGAGCCCGAAGCTTTGCCGAGTTTTGCCGAAGCGCACGCTGCATTGGCGAAAGTGAAGTTGTTCTTTTATGCGCTTAATATTAGTGAACGTGACGAGGAAAACCTTTTGAACGTGGAAAGTGCTCTGTTTGGTCTAAAACGTAAAGTTTCGACAAACCAGTTGTCCATTAAAGACTTTTTTGGTAAAAAGAAGTAACTTTGAAAGAGAAACATTGTTTTTTTTTAAATTTTTAATGCTTTCCCGCATCTATCGTTTTCCCGCATTCATCGTTTTTATTTCCCACCCCCGCCGAAAACGATGCATCGAGGTTTCACTGTATTGTGTAACTGATACAGCTGAATGTTGCTGATATGCATTTACTCGCCTACTGTTCTTGGCTGTTTGTGATGTAACTGCAGTGTTTTATGTGTAGGTTGCTTTATCAGCAGGTCAGGAGAGTATATTTTCATTGTCTATACATGGCTCATTCAGACGTCGTTTATTGTGTCTGTTTTTTGTAAGTGTGTAACTGTTGGTGGACTAGTGGTCATGACCCTACTTAACGTTGGTCACCAACCCCACTGTGGGGTTCACATCCTTTCCTTCCCTATTTTTCAGACTTTCCCATGCTTCTCTCCTGTCCTTCATTTGCTTCTCATCATTTTAGATATTTACGGACCAATAAATGAAGGACGTTAATAGAAAATCAGTTTAAAGAATAGTTAGTACATCGTGACTGGTAACAGCATTTTTATAACCCTAACAGCGGTTGGATTTTTTCCCAATAAAAAGTATGACAGTGGGACAACAAAGGATGAACAACTTCTTTGAAAGAATTATTTTAAATGTTCCAGTTTTCTTGCAAATTTCAAGGGGATGTTACTAAGAAAACTTACTCCTTATGGTGGGGGAATTTCTTGTTGCAAGATAAACATTCATGTCATGTATGTATCCTGTCCTGTACCATAGTTTGTATGGATTAATGACATATATCTCATTTTATTTTCTGTGTGGATGTGGTGTTCAGAATTAAACTTTTCCCTTTAAAAATATAGTGATTTTATGCACAGCTAACTGTTCAGTAAGATGACACACTTCAGAAAATATGCAATTTAAGGTGTCGAACAATTTAACAAGCTTCCAAAACCCATGCGTCTTAAATTACTTTCATCAGCTATAAATTATGTCAGTTAAATTGTCCAGACAGAATTCATACAAACATCTGTTAACTGGATAGGTTCTCTAACCATCTAAGCTACAGATTAATCTTCTTGGCCGGCATTTCTACACACACCTCCATACATTAGGAGAATTTACACTACATCGTGAATGACCAGCTCATAAATTCAAGCAGTTATGAGAGTCAAAGAATGTGTACATAGATATTTAATTTGAAAGAAAAATATTTTAGCTCATTTGCTGTTATCACCTACCTAGTGGGCTAAAGGTTCATCTTTGAAACCTTTCTAGATGAGTTGAGGTTCTCATGGTGGTGAATATGAAGATGGCTGTCTTGTGGCATGTAGCGCCGCAACTTCTCTTCTTTCCCGAGAGCGAGAGGCAAAACTGCAAACGCATGAAAAGAAGACAATGATGGTGAAGGCAACAAGCACCTGTGAAACATCAGTAAGCTTCTCCCAGACTACACGACCCTACAACCCAGACGACAGCCATCTTCATATCTGGATGAACGTTTTCTTAGACATCGTCATGATACAGATTTATGTGATGAATAACTTTGAGGATTGTTGAATGTTGAATATTAATAAAACATAAATATTATTTATTGATAATTAAGATTTTGTCAGTGTCTGACTGAGTGATGATTTTGACAGGGATTGGATTGGCTCAAGTTGGACAGACTCGGATTAAAACAATCAGTTCGCTTTGTTTGACCTGCTTCATGTATATGACATTTAAACTGAGGTAGGTTAGCTCTGTGTTTCCTTTGTTTGCAGCCCATTCATTTGAAACAGGTTCATTTACTTTTTAACTTTTGCTTGGAACTTGTGAAAGGTTGTTCTTTATAAATAATATTTCGAGGAAAAGAAGAATTAATATCAAAATATTTATACAGTTTTGGCAGTAAAATGGTATAATGCTTATGTGCATGGACCAACTTAAAATTTGTGGTTGGAATGGGTTAAAGTTGATTAAATGAACAACCATTTCAAATGATACTTCTTTACTTAATTTGTTTCTTCACATTTTATATACGACAGTATTTGTCTTCAGTCTAATCTGGTCTATTTTGTTGCAAGTTCGTGTAATTTTGTCACATCACGAGTTGGGTTTTGTCTTCATGCATTTTGCGGGAATGTGTAAAATGAAACACGTCTTAGGAACATATCAGTGCATTATCTAACATGCGGCTACCAAATGAATATTTGTAACAATTTTCTTTTATTGTATGTACTCCACGC